ATCCAGGGGTTTAACCACCAATCTTCCCATTAAGAAGATGCCTACAATTGAAGAGACATTTTCACCCAGTAAGCTGAGGTGGGTCAAGTATTGAAAATTGTACTCAAGTAAGAGTAGCATTACTTTAAAATAAGTTTACTCGAGTAAAAGTAGTTGGTGAAAAGACTACTCAAGTAGTGAGTAACTGGTTGTAATGTCAGATTTATTTTTTAAAATAAATGCTATCAAACAAAAATAAATAAATATACAAATTTTAGTATTTTCAAATAGAATATATGTAAAACATAAACTAAATAAGGCACAACAATTCTAATTTCCAGATTTCAGTTTTTCAAAACATAAAGCCTTTTTAACCAATAGCTACAGTAAATAATATAAATATATAAACAGTGCAAACCATTTCCAGTGACAAGATGTGTGGTATACTTTATATTCATTTTTGCTCCAAATGGCACAGCAGCTTCAGAGTAAACATTAGAACAGGGCAACTTCAGCCTATGTACATGCAGGGCTGCTCAGTTTACCATAAATTGTTTGGGTGTGTGTCTATTTCTGCATATTTAGCAAAAGTGTGCCATTTCTTCACTCAGTGAAGTGATGGTTAAGCTTCAGCAGCAGTTTGCTCTCAAGGTTCTTTTTGTGAAGCTGTAACTGTTTAGCAGTGAACAGGAGTCCTGCATGACTAAGAAGTCCTTCACAGGCTCCAGATGCAGGAAGAGCTGTATTCGTTTTAATTGACAGCTTTTTGATGTGAGGAACGCCATGCAATAGATCCACACCTCCAGTGAATGGACATGAAAGGTACCTCTCCAGCCCCCCTGCTTCTGGCTTTCCTGACCCAATGGATCCATTATCTTCGTCAGTTAGGCCGCTGTTTGCACTGGCATCATCGAGCTCTGTGTCTAGGTGATGTCTGATGAAGTGGAGACCTGTGGAAAGATGTATGGTTTTCAAAAGAATCAGGTCTGCTCACTATACTGCTGTATACACTGCCAAGCTGCAAAAACAATTTGCAATGAATTCCAGATTAGATTCTGCTCCCTCGTAACACTGCTCTTTTATTGAGGTGACATGAATATGCATAGGCTCATTAACATATAGGTACACATGTGAACAAAGAGTACCATGTGTGTTGGGGGAGGGTCAGAATGTGACCCGATAAACGACTTCCCTAAACCTGCTGGTCTGGAAGTACAGCAGTTCATCTAAACAAAAGGCACTTATACTAAAATAGATATAGTGTGTTTGCGATACCATATATCAGTAAGAGAAGATATAACCTCTCTCATGACCTTAAGCACACACAGTCTTTGCAGACTACTAAGGATCAGACCCCTACCAATATGACATTGACTATAAACTCTAACCATATATAAGTAAATATTTCTAAGCATAAATGACAATCAACAATATAACCCTGACACTAGCCTCTTAAAGCTGGGCATACACTGTGCAATTTTTGGTCCATTTTGAGACGATTTATCAGCCGTTTGACCGTTTTGGGGAAAAGCCAGAGTTTCGTCTTAATTGTGTGTCATGCATCATGTAGTATACATGGGGTAATGAGAAGCGATTAATACCTCACGACCAGCTCCCGATCATCAATCATATGGTCGCAAGATAATCCAACCTGTTTAAAACCCGGTCGCCCTTCATGAGGGTGTCAACGCAGCCTCTGACACAGAAATGCTGCTGGACACAAGCGATGGAGGCACAACTTGTAGAAATTTTGCAAGCTCATCTGAGTACGGGAGCGTAGAGCTGCCACCCAGGCAAACAAAATAGAAGTATATGATGTTATAATGTGAAACCTTTATTGTTCTAACAGTGTACTATCATGTTTGTTATTGCAATGTACGTAATTATCACTTCAAACAAAAAACCTTTTGTACAAAATGTTATATAGTACAAACGTCACAATTATGTATATTTTAATAATATGGTAGTATATTGTACAAACATGAAAAGTATATTGTTAGAACAATAAACATTTCATATTATAACGTGAGATAGCTCAGTTTTTCGTTTGCCGGGGTGGAAGCTCTACGCTTCCATATCGAGGCTTTTCAGTGTGACCTACAGACGTCTAACCCCTGCGATTCAATCGTACAGTTTGAGCAGGAGCTAAATAAGGTGATTGAAAAAAATTGTACAGTGTATATCCAGCTTAATGCAGACTGTTTAAATTAAACAAGCTGCTGTTTCACATAATAAACCCTGTCGACCGCTGTATTGCCTTCTGATTTAACAGTTAAAGCAGTAGAGACGAGCTGTGTTTACATCTGCATGGAACTCTGGCTTCGTTAACCAGGCTAGCTTAGAGTTCACGCTAGCTAACCAGCGAGGAGTTAAAAGTGGCGAAAACAACACCCACAAACTTATCTCACTACAACATAGGGCCGAAAATATGACGTGATTCTAGTGTAATCAAACTCGGGGCTTGAGCTTTATTTCAGGCAATGTTCAGGATTAAAATGTTGAAGGAATTCCCTGACTCTCACTGTGTTTGTGTCTTTGTTTAGAAGCAGAGCGACACAGCATGCTGGGAGAAGTTGGAGCAGAAAAGTCTTTTCAGTAGCACTGCAGTATTTTTTTCTGCCTGCACCAAACCTCTACAGCCTCATTACCGCGGTCACTACATCCACGGTTGAAAAGTATTTGCGCACCTACTAGTGATGGGAATTCCGACTCTTTTTAGAGAACACAGTAAAGCTGTGGGTTGTGGGAATGACCCATAATGTTTTATCTAGGGGTCTAGATTTATGCCTGTAGTGCACTGCCGTGTAAATAATTTGCATTTACTGAATATATACTGACTGAGTCCCACTGTTCAAAAGTTGAATAAAGAAACAAACTAATTTTTGCCTCTTTTTTTATTAAATTAAAACCACCTTATAGAACATCACATCAGTTACAATGATGATGTCATTTATAGTTTACAAATGACAAAATGTTTACATAAAATCATGTGTTTACATGATATCACCCACTACTAACTTTATTTTCTTTATTTTTTGAAAAAATACAGCTACTTATACAGCAAAAGACTTTAGAATATTTAACAGGAGCAAGTTTCATTTTTCCCTGGTTTTATTATCACACTGTTCACCAAACGCAGCAAACCTTCACCATCTTATCCAGAAGGGTCACCTCTTCACCCTCACATGGAAGAAGTAATCTGATTGGCATGGTGGTATGTTTGAAGCAGGTCCCTTGTGTAGCGCTGGAACTCAGTCACGATGTTTCATCCATTTCATCGTCTGGTTTGCTGCAATAATGCCAAATAATTAGCAACTCTATAAATAGAAGGTAGTTCTGCAAAATCACTCAGTAGGATGTTTGTTCTAATTTGCTATGAGCTCAGAGCGCATCGAAAATAAAACTAATAGACTATATCACAACCAACTCTAACATGTTTGTTCGCAGAGAAAAGACAGACAGACTACGCTAACAACATGTGATGTTACAACACTAGTGAAATATTAGTGTCATTTCATTCATTTCAAAGGTTTATTTGCATGACGCACAAACAGACACAATTGAAAGGTACAAATGTGCATGACACGAATTCAAACGTGGTGCAGATGTGTGTCACAGGCTGATCTGGCTGTAGGCTGTGGCACTTGGCCAGAGGTGGCGCTGGTTGACTCGACTCCATGTTAGTGCACAAAGTAAACAGCTCGCTGTAGTTGTGAAGCAAAAACGTTGAAACCGGAGTAATAAACCGTGCGAGGGGAACGATGATGACAACAGTCTCCCGATCGTTTACTCTTGCTGTCCTGTGAACAACAACGGCGTGGTGTTACTTGTTTGCTGTTTTCGCGATCGCGTCGCGCATGAGGATATCACCAGGTAAACTCGCCACATTTTAAACATTTTGTTGTTCACCAGCATCAAGACTGACGGAGTGTGTTTGAGACAACCTCACAAGTGTCACAGATGACACATTTGGCGTTTTTTTTGCTGGTTTGTCGGTAGCAGCTCCTGAAACGCAAGACTGCCACACATCTGTTCGACCAACGCCAGTTGATCTAAACGCCAGTAGATCTGGAACACCGGCTCTTTCAGCTCGACTCACTACAAAGATCCA